GAAGCCTTTGGCTTCCCCTGCATCCTTTCCCACCATTTTCTTCATCTAGTGGTGCAGTCTGGGCTATACGTATGGAGGAGGAGATGAGTTTCTGTAAACAGGCTCCTCAGTGCAACCTGATGCATATTTACTCACACATACGTCTATTTTATTCAATGGGGCATACTCCCAGGCAGGGCTCTTTTTGTAGCAGGGACTCCTCTGCATATTAGGCGACACACCCCTAATGTAGCCAATCCTCCGAGAGCTTACAGAGCTCTTCTTACAGCTTTTGGAGGATTGGCTACATGAGGGGTGTGTCACCTAATATGCAGAGGAGTCCCTGCTACAGGAAGAGCCCTGCTCCCAGGTAAGTGATGTCACAGCAGCCAGTGATGTCCCACTTTTGTTGTTGTTGTTCAGTCGCACAGTCGAGTCCAACTCTTCGCGACCCCATGGACCAGCTCTCGCCAGGCCCTCCTGTCTTCCGCCGTCCTCTGAAGTTTGCTCAGTTTCATGTTCGTTGCATCTATGACACAGTCTAACCATCTCATCCTTTGCCGTCCCCGTCTTCTTTGACCTTCAATCTTTCCCAGCATCAGGGTCTTCTCCAGGGAGTGCTCCCTTCCCATTTGGTGGCCAAAGTATTTGAGCTTCAGCTTCAGTATCTGGCCTTCCAGGGAACAGTCCCACTTAGCTATAATCAAAGACCATTCTGGCCCATGTCACCATTTAAATTGTTAAGGATATCCGGGTGTCCTCGACCAGAGCCAGGGCTTCCTTAGCCCCAGCATTGGCCTGGTGGAATTCTCTGCCTACTGACATCCGGGCCCTGCAGGACCTAATGCAGTTCTGCCGGGCCTGTAAGACAGAGATGTTCCACCAGGCCGATGGCTGAGGACAGCAACGGTTTACCATCAAGCCTGGCCTCCCCATCTCCTCCCCCAGTAGAGCAGGATATGGAATATCCCACACCATCTGATTAGTCGATTATGGGTGTTTTCATTGTTTTAATCTTATTTGTACATACATATCATAGTCGTTATGAAAATCTATTTATAACTTGTCGTTAACCCCCCTGAGCCCCAATCGGGGGGGGGGGGGCTTATAAACTGATTGGTAGTAGCTCTCCGGGGTCTCTGGCAGGGGTCTTCCGCATCACCTACGACCCAATCCTTATTTAACTAAAGATGCTGGGGACTGAACCATGGACCTTCTGCATATAAGAGAGATGCTCTACCTCTAGCCACAGCTCCCCCCCTAGTCAAAGTACTCTAGCCACCATACCACACAAACTGTTTCTTATTTCTCCATCAGTGACGCCATAAAGCAGTCAGCACTTCTGCCCAAACTCTTGCTCTGTACAGATATTCATTTCTGAAGAACAAGAGAAACAACTTCCTCCAGTTTGGTGTAGTGGTTAAGTGCACGGACGCTAATCTGGGAGAACTGGGTTTGATTCCCCACTCCTCCACTTGCACCTGGCTGGATTACCTTGGGCAAGCCATAGTTCTGATAAGAGCTGTTCTTGAAAAAGAGCAGTTTCTGTCAGAACTCTCTCAGCCCCACCTACCTCACAGGGTGTCTGTTGTGGGGAGGGGAAGGGAAAGGAGTTTGTAAGCCGCTCTGAGACACCTTTGGGTAGTGAAGGGCAGGGTATAAATCCAATCTCTTCTTCTTCTTCTTCTCCACAGAGTAACTAGTCTGCTCCAGCGCTGCTGGTTTTGCAAACCATACAACGTAACAGGGAAGCCTTACAGCGGGGGAGGGGGAAAAACCCTTCCCATCCTGCATTGCGCTCACTTTCTGCAGCTCCTTGCAAATCAATGGAATGATAAAACTGACTTTGATTAAAGCAGTTCCTGGCTTAGCTAATTTCCCTCTTAAGAAAATATTTAGTGCACTACAAGAGGCATATAAGCTCAGGAGAAGTATTCTTGCACTTTCTAACCATTTCTACATATGGAGATTCTTATTCTTTCATATAATTAAGAATCTTGAGGACCTCTCCTGACACTGAGATATAGAAGAGGCCCCTGACAGTCAAGACGTGCACAGTTACTGCAGCTGTGATAGTGTTGCTACTCTTGATATTTCCAAGTAGTCCCTAAAGCCTACAGAAACCTCCAAGGCCATTTTCACTGGGTAAAAATAAATCTGTTGTAGGAGCCTCAAGAATACTGCTGCTAGATCTCTGAACATTTATACTGCTACAGGCTTCTGCATGTATATACTTGGCTGGGATAAATGGGAGCTTCACGCACAGTTCCACATCCTGACTCTCCACATGCGCAGCCCTTTTATACAAACATCTAGTCTTGCTGAGTGGCTTGTGCAGGAGGAGCTAAGCTGTTCCCACTCCTTTCCCGCCAACCAGGTGTTTTGTCTTCTTCTGAAGTGTACAGAACCACATGCTATGGAAAATGCCCAGTGGCCACAAAACCTTGCGTCTGATGCTCTGTGCTGGTAGCATAGGGTAGAAGAACATGTCCTCATACTTTGTGTCCTTCCACTTTAGAAAACAGAAATGACGATGCCACATCATATGCTTAATTTATTACATATTATTAAAGTAAAGGTAAAGGTTTCCCTTGCTCGAAAGCCAGTCGAGTCCGACTCTAGGTGTGCGGTGCTCATCTCCGTTTCCAAGCCAAAGAGCCAGCGCTGTCCGAAGACGTTTCCGTGGTCATGTGGCCGGCATGACTAAACACCAAGGTGCACGGAACGCTGTTACCTTCCCACCGAAGTGGTACCTATTTATCTACTTGCAATTTTTTTGCTTTCGAACTGCTAGGTTGGCAGGAGCTGGAACTAGACAGGAGCTCACTCCGTCATGCGGCAACCCAGGTCTCGAACTGCTGAACTACTGACCTTCCACAGCCTGCAGTTCAGCGTCTTAACCACTTGAGCCACCGCAGCTTATACATATTATTAGGGGACAGGGAATGAAGGCTGCTGTTTTCAGATAACACATGAACACCATAAAGCTAACATACTGAGTCAAACCATTGGTCTATCAAAGTCAGTTCTGCTTGCTCCCAACTGTCAGCTGCTCTCCAGGGTCTCGGGTGGAGGTCTGTCACATCACCTACTACCTGATCCTTTTTTTACCTGGAGATGCTGGAGACTGAACCAGGGACCTTCTGTGTGCCAAGCAGATGCTCTGCCACTGTGCCGTGACCCTTCCCCAGACATTGTGTAGCTTCACCCTTGGCATTTCCTAGAAGATACCTGGCCACCAACCTTTCCTTCAGCACAGCAGCCCCACCAGACAAGCCATCCTATGCGGTTACTTGTCTCCGAGGTAGGAGGCATTTTTCCCAGTTTTCTTCAGTGTCTCCAGCAAGGTTTCCATGCTATGCTCCGATTCGATAGTCACTTTCTTGTTGGGTAGATCAATATCAAACTGCACCGCTAGGCAAAGAAATAACAATGTGTAAATATCATACCGAGCATTTTGACAGCAGATTCCCTCTCCATTGCTCCCGCTCCCAATTCCTGAATGAGGGCTGATATGAAATGAGTTAAATGATAGAGATGGAACAATGGATTGCTTCTTCTGTCCTTAGACTCTGTGAGGAATGAACCCTATTTCCTAAGGGAGGAATACCTAACTTTCCACTGGGGGTAGGGAGGAAGGTACCCATCTGAAACCCAAGGGACTAGGGATCTTATACCTTGTGTGGTGAAACGGGGACCCACCCTCAGCCCTGGGAGACTGAGGTGCTGTCCTGTGGCTCGCAAGCCCCTGTTTTGTCCTTCTCACCCTGCCTGGTGGGGCTATTTCTCTCTGTTAAACGCTGCCACCACTCACTGAATGGACACCACCTTCCTAGAAGGACAGTGAGACCTCTCTGGCTGATTTCCCCACCTTGGGAAGCGGGTACCTTGATCTTTCGGCACCCCCTGGAGAATTGGCAACCCCTCTGATACTGTGCTGGTAGCATAGGGTAGAAGAACACGTCCTCACACTTTGTCCTTCTGCTTTAGAAAACAGAAATGACGATGCCACATCATATGCTTAATTTATTACATATTATTAAAGTAAAGGTAAAGGTTTCCCTTGCTCGAAAGCCAGTCGAGTCCAACTCTAGGGTTGCGGTGCTCATCTCCGTTTCCAAGCCGAAGAGCCAGCGCTGTCCGAAGACGTTTCCGTGGTCATGTGGCCGGCATGACTAAACACCAAGGTGCACGGAACGCTGTTACCTTCCCACCGAAGTGGTACCTATTTATCTACTTGCAATTTTTTTGCTTTCGAACTGCTAGGTTGGCAGGAGCTGGAACTAGACAGGAGCTCACTCCGTCATGCGGCAACCCAGGTCTCGAACTGCTGAACTACTGACCTTCCACAGCCTGCAGTTCAGCGTCTTAACCACTTGAGCCACCGCAGCTTATACATATTATTAGGGGACAGGGAATGAAGGCTGCTGTTTTCAGATAACACATGAACACCATAAAGCTAACATACTGAGTCAAACCATTGGTCTATCAAAGTCAGTTCTGCTTGCTCCCAACTGTCAGCTGCTCTCCAGGGTCTCAGGTGGAGGTCTGTCACATCACCTACTCCCTGATCCTTTTTTTACCTGGAGATGCTGGAGACTGAACCAGGGACCTTCTGTGTGCCAAGCAGATGCTCTGCCACTGAGCTATGACCCTTCCCCATGCATTGTGTACCTGCACCCTTGGCATTTCCTAGGAGATACCTGGCCACCAACCTTTCCTTTAGCACAGCAGCCCCACCAGACAAGCCATCCTATGCGGTTACTTGTCTCCGAGGTAGGAGGCATTTTTCCCAGTTTTCTTCAGTGTCTCCAGCAAGGTTTCCATGCTATGCTCCGATTCGATAGTCACTTTCTTGTTGGGTAGATCAATATCAAACTGCACCGCTAGGCAAAGAAATAACAATGTGTAAATATCATACCGAGCATTTTGACAGCAGATTCCCTCTCCATTGCTCCCGCTCCCAATTCCTGAATGAGGGCTGATATGAAATGAGTTAAATGATAGAGATGGAACAATGGATTGCTTCTTCTGTCCTTAGACTCTGTGAGGAATGAACCCTATTTCCTAAGGGAGGAATACCTAACTTTCCACTGGGGGTAGGGAGGAAGGCATCCATCTGAAACCCAAGGGACTAGGGATCTGGATGCTCCCTGGCTGAACTAGGACTGTCTGCAGCTGTACCTTCCCTGAAACGTGGACATATCATGCTGTCCCCCTGCACAGAATACAAGGGATTCTGGCTAATACTTTCTGAATGGGTTGGACTCTCCTATAGTGCCCTTGGAGGTGTTACAGGCCACACATAATCACTTTGCAACTCAGGTACGACTGGTAACTTACAAAATGAAATGGATCTACAACAAAAATGTCCAATGGAGTTTTATTCAAGGTATAAGCTTTCGTGTGCAAGCGCACTTCCTCAGATACAGTGAAACAGAATTTCCTCAAGCCCTACGTACAGGAATATCGGGGGGTTGTCAGCTGTCAGGAACCAAGATGCATAAGTAAAGCTGAGATTGTCTCAAGGCAGCCGGTATGGGCTAATTTGCTGCCATTCATTGATCTTACCAGCTTACCATGTTGGCTCTGCCAGGCCCTTCCTGAGGGCTTCCCCCCATCTCCCTGTATGTAGGGCTTGAAGAAATTCTGTTTCACTGTATCTGAGGAAGTGTGCTTGCACACGAAATCTTATACCTTGTGTGGCGAAACGGGGACCCACCCTCAGCCCTGGGAGACTGAGGTGCCGTCCTGTGGCTCGCAAGCCCCTGTTTTGGCCTTCCCACCCTGCCTGGTGGGGATATTTATCTCCGTTAAACGCTGCCACCACTCACTGAATGGACACCACCTTCCTAGAAGGACAGTGAGATCCCTCTGGCTGATTTCCCCACCTTGGGAAGTGGGTACCTTGATCTTTGGGCACCCCCTGGAGAGTTGGCAACACCTCTGATTTGGGCCTGTTTGTGTTCCCTGGCCTCCTTTTGCCCTTGTAACGTGCACAGCAGGGAGGACTGTGTGGTTAAGGCACACCAGGCTTTTTAAACTCAAAAAGGAAGATTTATTTAACTATATACAGGTTAGGCATGAAAATAAACACAGGCACTTCAACATAACCTGGGCACAGAAATTAAACTGGATTGAAATGCAATTCCTCTGCCCCTACACATACCCTCTCTACCTCTGTAGTGGGTTGTGGCCTCAGGCCAGGATTTGCTTTCCCTTCCCTGGACCGTTACCCTCCTGGCTGTCCATCACGGTTTATAGTGGCCTGGACTGACCACGGAGTCTGAGGTAACAGGAAACTGCCATCCACGCTGAAGACCAGGCTAAGACTAGGCGGAGACTGATTTCCCCCTCAGGAGCCAAAACCTTTATCTCCTTGGCCCCGCCCCTGGGGTGTGTCAAACTTTCCCCGCTCTTTTCCCTCAAGGCTGTTGGGAAATGTAGGCAGGGAGGTACGGCAGCTCCATTGTTCCTTATGGAGTACCTCCCCCCTTGTAAGGACTACCAGGATGGCATCCATTTTAGGTACTGCTGCTTCTGCCTGTCAGTCATTTTGTCACACCTTGAATAAAACTTTGTTGGTCTTAAAGGTGCCACTGGACTCAAACTTTGTTCTGCTGCTTTCAGACCAACATGGCTACACACCTGGAAAAATGTACAATGAAAACCATACGGCACTTCCAGTTCACAAATCAAATACTTTAGTGCATCCTGAACCATGGTATTATTGAGGGCCTCTTAAGGGAGGCATGCTTTTACTTTGCAGGAAACAGAGGAAGCCAAATGCCATTTGCTCAGCAGCACTCAAAGGCCTAAGGGAGTTATCCTGTGTTTGGACTGCCCTGCTTCATACTATAAGTGAAGGTTCATATGACTGAATGCTCCTCTGTACAAAGAGAGTCTTTCGTGACATGCTAACCTTGTGATAAACACTACTTACATTACAGGCTTCCTACACAAAAGGCACCTCCATCCAATGTTCCCTCTAAGCTGTGGAGTCCTGTGAGAAAAAATTCTGCTTTGTGAGCGACTGGCATCTTTTGGGCTGCCCTGCTTCAGACTATAAGTGAAGGTTCATATGACTGATTGCTCCTCTGTACAAAGAGAGTCTTTTGTGACATGCTAGCCTTGTGATAAACACTACTTACATTACAGGCTTCCTACACAGAAGGCACCTCCATCTAAGAAACTGCATAGAATCCTTGTCTGCCACATCAGACAATCAAATAATGCAATGCAATTCCCTTGTATGCAGACAACAAGGCTTCACAATAGGGCACTTCAGACAATAGCCGTTTCACACTGTGTGGTACAGATTACCAGAATAAGAAATAACGTCCATACGGAACCTCTAATATGTGAAATGGCATGTGGTGAAGATTTCCCTCAGCGTTTTGCAACAGCTATCCTGCTCCCCCCAGAACAGGACAAAAAAGTAGATTTCCAATAAGATACTAAAGGCAGGATCAGGTTCAAATCTCCTCCAGCAGAAGCTTCTGGAGTTACAGAGAATTCTTAGTGACTTAACTGAGTGCCTGGGTCAAGCCTCCGAAAATAATGTAATTCAATGAACTTTTTTTTTAAGACCAGAAGAGAAAGTTCTGTTCCCTCAAGTCAACCACCCTCTTACCAGTAATTAGTGGCCCCAGTCACACGGGAGGATTTGCCCCGCGAAACGGACGGATTAAGGGCGGATTAAACTGGCGCGATCAGATGCCAACATCTGGCAAGCGTCGCACCCCCGCCCCTAACCCGTAGCTTCTGGCCGAAGATGCGGATCTAAAAGAGACTAGTGAAAGGGCAGTACCTACCGGATGACGTGCAGCACCGGCGGCCATGGGATCGCTGACGCATGGTTATCCCGTGGTATGCGTGGCAATGGCGAACTGCACATGCGCACAACTGCTGCAGCTGGCCCTCCTCGCCCTTCTTAGTGTCGCTTCCCCTGCAGCATGTGATTGCGGCTGCCGGCAGAAGTGCAGAGTTTCGGGGGACCTGCCTGATCCCTCTGCCGCACTTCTGTTTGTTGCGGCTCTAAAAAGCCGCACTTCCCCCGCTCGTGTGACCGGGGCCAGTGATTAGCTACAGACCAAAAGATTTCCATCAGAAAGAAGTTGCTTGGTTATTTTAGCTATAGCACAGAAGGAAATAAAGGCTACCTTGGAAATTACATCCATTAAAGTGGGTGTGTTAATCTCTTAAATTACGTAATTAAAAAAAAAGATACACAAGTATGAATATACTTCAGAATAAATGTCAGTTTTAACAAGTGAGACCCAAATTGCCAAAGGACACCATTCAATATTTCCCTGGGATAACAGGGAACTGTGGCTGATACAGTCATTCAAGTATATTTCAAAGACATTCCACGTTCTGCCTCTCCACCAAGAGGATCTTTGTCTTCCCTTAAAATGCAAGGAAGAGCACTAATGCTGGCCCATGAAGTCTTTAATGTTAGAGCCAGCAGTGCTTACTGGGCACCACTCACCTCCCAGCTTGTTGAGGACACGGGTTACAGCACTGGAGCATCCTTCACAGGTCATGTCTACAAAGAACTCATGTTTCTGAAATCACCAGAAAAAAGATTGGAGCGGTCACTGGAATAGATCTCATGGAACAATTTTATTCAGTCATCCCATTCAACCATGGTTAAATCAAAGTGTGCATGAACTTGGCTTGCGTGCACACCTGTTCCCTGCCTTCTTTTTTCCTGCATGGAGTGCAATGAAGAAATGGTGGCCTTAAAACCATCCTCAATTATCTACGACAAGCCAGTGCAGGCATGTGACTGAACCAGAGTTGGTTTTCCTTTCACTGTGTGTGTGTTAAGTGCTATTAACACAAACACAGTGAATGGAAAACCAACTCTGGTTCAGCCACATGCCTGCATTGGCACATCACAGATAACTGATGATCGTTTTAAGGCCACCTTTTTACATTGCACTAAACCAGGACTAAAACCTGGTCAAGAATCCCAGCTTGTTTCAGGAAACTAACTCTGGGTAAGCTACACATGGGATTTGCACATCATGGGTAGCCAGTTAGTCTTAAATCACCATTCCTCCATCTTGCTGTGTGCAGGAAGGGAGAAGGGGAAGGGAGGAGTCAGGCAAGCATATGCAAGCCTGGAAAAAGCTGGGTTTGTGAACTTTTATTTAAATGTTGTTTAAGGGGACGTCTGAATGCAACCAACGACTTGTCTTTATTATAACTGCATGATGTCTAAGCTTGATCCTCACAATTTGGTTCCTTCCAACACATACGAAGTCCATACGAAGAACAACTTTCAGTTGATGACAATCAAAGTGGCCCCAGATCTATTATTCATAGAGCCTGCGTGTATGGATAGTTATTACATTTATACCCTGCCTTTCTTCCATCACAGAATTCAAGGTTGCTGAGTAACGTTGCTGTGTTATTTCCACCCCTACCTCTGGGAATTTCACGTAGAGTGGCTTTTAAAAAATAGCTGTTGAGAATGAGCTGTTAATTTTAAAAAGAATATTTTGTCCGCTCAAATGATGGTTTCTCTTTTTCTTCAGTCAGGACAGATTAATTTAAAACTCAAAGAAAAAAAATTAAATCACTGTCAAGTCTCTTAATGGTATTTCATATATTTCTTAAGCCATGACGTCCACTAGTTAGTATAACCACTGCATCATTTAAACTGGCAACTAAATGGAACTTTTGAGCTATCCAGGAGCGACGATTTCTCCCCAGTGTTGCTTTGCTGCTGCTTCTTTCACCTTGGATCGTTCTTTTGTGCAATTCTCTTGTTTTCTCCACTCTTGCACTCATGAAACAGAAAGCTGTTGGCAATCCAAAGCTTTCGCTCAGTGCAGCTGATGTGTTATTGTGTATGTATTTTGTCACTTTCAAGACAACTGAAATTCCCAGTAGCAAAGACTGGTAGTTACTACCGTCAACACTTTACTTGCATAAATGTGCTTGCTGGTCTATAGAGAACAAACATTTGTAATCTGAGGACTGAACCAACTGCAGAGCTCAAGGGGAAAAAAAGATCATGATAATAGCTATACACAAGATCATTTGGAGAGAACATAGCTGGCAATAGTCCTCATGATATTACAAATGACATCCCCCTTATCCAAGGGCTAAGATGATCTAGGATTCCCCCCCCCCCATGGTTCTTTACAAAGAACACTTTTAAGGGGTTATAAGGATAAATTTAACAAGCTTATATAGAGCTTAACCAGCCTGTCATAAAAAGAAAAAAACTGACATTAAAAAAGACTTTTAAAAAAGTTATATTCAGGTTTTACCCACCATACCTTCAGCTTGCTTGCAGTGTTCCCTCTAAGCTGAGTTAGTGCGAGCTAGCTCACAGTTTTTTAGCCTCCGGCTCACACGTTTTTGTCTTAGCTCAAAAAAGATGGCTCCAGAACAAACTAATTTATGTAGTAGCCAGATCACTCACAACTTTAATGCCAGTAGCTCACAAGAGTAGAGTTTTTGCTCACAAGACTCCACAGCTTAGAGGGAACATTGCTTGCTTGTAAATTGCTTCTGCATTTAAAAGTTGATTATCCTCTCACAGTTCACATAATACAAAACCAGTAAACATCCAGGAAAAGGATGCTTTATTCAACTGTGTGATTCTTAACAAGCTATTTCTAAGCATTGCCATAATCAATGAATAATTGCAGTAGTCCATAAACATAGGTTATTAGGGAACACGGCACTACTTTGTGTCTCCAATCAGCTTTGCCAAATATTAACTAGCATTCATTCATTGCATCAGAAATAGTACTGTCTCCTTTCACTATGAGAAAAATAACCCTCTCCCTGGATGATAAGAGATGTGGCAAAACTTATACCCTTAGTAAACAGGGTGGCCCTGAGAGAATTACAAATCTCTGTGGCTTCTTGTTTCCAGTTATTAACAGACTGTGGTGGCAAAGAGTGAATGAGGCAATAGAGGCCAAGTGACTAACCAGTTTTTCCTGGTAATGCTAAAGATGCAGCTCACTAGGGTAAAACTGAAGAGGCCCTGGAAACCCAGCTGCATAAACAGCCTTAAGAGTGGAAAGAATGGGTCTAAGCCTGAAAGTCATGAGAGGCCAAACTCCTGGGATCTTTTGGAGGAATTAATCACTCTACCTTCACCGGGCATATTGGGGAGCAGGGGGGGGGGAGATTTGAAGAACTAGTTCATTCTTGTGATGAGCCTGAGGGAAAAGGTGTGAACTCAGGATCTCTTCTAATTTACCATTTAAAGGTCTTGGAAGCAGTTCAAAATGGGCTCTTTCCATACATATGAAAATTTAGGTCAAAACGTTTGAGCTTTTCTAAGAATGAAGGTATGATGAGCAAGATCATATACCTTTGACAGGCCCTGGTCAAGACTAGGCTCCAAAAAAGTAACACAGGTGTTCTGATGTAAAGCACTCTCATCAATTCCAAAAGTGAGCCACTGAACACAGTGTTGGAATTGATATTCATTTTTGCAGTTGATCACCTGTGAGTGGGAGAATAATAGGAGACTGTGGGCAGGGCTTTAGTGTTGACATGTTACTTACTCAAATTATCATGGCAATTACTCTGCAATAATCACAAGAGTTCATGCTGAAAGACTGAACCCATAGGGGAGTGTTTCTTCACATAGCACCTTCGAGCATGCAAAGAACGTTTTGGTCCTCCCAAGCCCTTAGATCACTGCAGAGAAGGCTTTCTTCTGTAATGGTTCTTGAGTCATGGAATCTTCTAAAATCAGCCACCTTCTGAACCACAGTCCTTTTAAACAGGCTCTGTAGATGCAATTTTTCATACTGGCTTTTTTGCTGCTGATGCTTTTTGTGGTGGATTCTAAGGGCAGCTGTGCAACCTCTTGTCCTTTCAGTTTTGGTTGCTGTGACATATTTATGCAATATGTTTCCTTCCCTGATAATTTTGTACTGAGAGGCAAGCTAACATTTTGCTAAATAAGTAACTTCGAAAGAAAAACTCATTGTTGTAGCGTCTGTTTCTCTTGGAATAACAGCTTGTTTTGAACAATCCTGCTTTTAGTTTTACTTTCCTTTTACCCAAGGTACGACAACTACAAAAATCCGAGTTATTAATTTAACATATCTAGTTGTATGGGGCATTGTCCTCTCAAGGCATACTTAAGCTGGACCAACAAGGCTCTGCCAGGGTGACAAAGCTGGACTACATTTTTGTCAAAAGAATTAAAATCTTGACCAAGCTGCAAGAACAGGATTCATCCTAGACCGTTTAAACCGGATCCAAAGCCCTAGTGTCAATTCTGAACACAATTCTGAAGTGAGTGGGCCAAGGCCACATAGAAGCCTGTGGCACGTCACGGGATGACCCACTCTGTCCCGCGGAGTCACAGACTCCAGGGAGACATGTGGGCAGAGGATGTGACCCTGATTCTGATAAATGCGACCCTGATTCTGATAAACGGCGATCGCGCTAAAAGGACCCTCAACAGAAAGAAACGACAGCCGGGAAATCACGGAGCTGGCAGTTGCCGCCACAGAGCTCGCAAGCGGCGCTTCCCCTTCTGTCCTCAGCCTCCCTTCCCCTTCCTCACAGGAGACACCACCCCTAGCCCACCTCGCGCGAGCGTGTGTGAAGTCACCCACCGGCATGGCTGCTCCGGAACGCTTTGAAACCTTCCTGGCTGCTCTTCAGCGGCACAGATCAGCTCCCCTTTCAGATCGCTGCAAAATGAGAGGCGGCAGCCGGGCCGCCTCCCTCCCATTGGCCCCTGCGACTCCGCCCCCTTCCCGCCTTCGCAGGTTGCGTGACAGCCAGGAGGGTGGGGGAAATCTAGCGTCACGTCTTGCTCTTTGGGGCCGCTAGAGGGAGAGCGGAGTAAAGCCTGTTGGCAACAAATCCAACAAAGACGCGGCTTTAGCGCATGGCTACAAAGAAAGCGATGCAAACCTGGCATCCTTCAGACGCCCACAGAGAGGCCGCTCCAGTCTTCGGACACGCTGTCACGAGACCGCAGAGTCGCCAACGATGAGATTTCCAGCGAGAAAGCGCTGCATGAGAATTTATCAGCACACTCACTTCCATTCAGTTCAGGTGTACGTGGGACTGTGGAGGGCTTCTGTCCCACTGCAGGGGTTAAATTAGCTCAGCAGAACTCCCAGGGGCTGCTGTTGTGGATGGGTCACCAGTACGTTGAGACTGTGTAGAAAGGGTAGGTAGACCTACTGCATTTCATGGCCTTTGAACCCCATAATTTACATTTTACTCCAGGCAGCAGAGAATGTGGACAGCCCTAGGTGGAAGATAACACTGCCCATCTGAGGAAACAATCTTATGCCACAATAACATCAATTAGTCATTACGGTGCCACAACTCTGTTATTTCAGGGTCGAACAATACAAGGTGCAGATCTCCCCCCTTAAACTGCTGCACTGTCCAATTCAGATTGAAACCATTTCGGGGAAGGGGAGTAATTTAATCTACTATTTGGGGGGGGGGGTTGTGTGTCGGGCAACATTAGACAAATTAGAGGCTCAGACGTTGCTTTTACTTAAAAAAAAAAAGGCCCAGAAATCTGATCATAGATCTCCCTGCATTGATCTAGTTTGTCCTGTTGAGGGATAAACACTCCCACTACATAGTTATTTGGATGTTTTTAAATTATGTATTGTAAGCATCTTTGTGCCATGGATAAAGGTAGAGTACAAATCTTTCAGTAAATAAACCTGTGTCCAAGGGTGGGAATGTGGTGCCCACTACTGGAGAAGCAACCCTTGCATCTCCAGCCCATACCCACACACATCTTACTGCAGATTTTCAGAGCAGTAAGGCTTTAATCTTGACTTTGGATTCCGTACCCGCCTTATGCATCATTCTTTTTCCTTCGGTGTATTTATTCTGCAGCTACAATTAAAAAATTGGGGTGGAACGTCACTTTTGGTGTGTTGGGGGTGGTGTCCAATGTTTTTTTTTTTAATTATGCAATTGCCCTATCACAGCTGCACAGTAGCATCCAGGAAGCACCTTCCAATTAAATCCTCCTGGTTCAGGTCTTGCCCATGCATTTTACCACTAATCCTTTGAATGAAAGGGAACAGAAAGGAATGCAGGCAAATGGGGGAAACCCACTGTTGAAACTGACCAGACTTTTTCTGAAACTAACAAGCAGCTGCAAAGCCCCATTTTCCTGATCGCCCAGCACTGTGAGGGTTCTCTGCTGTGTTACTGGCCACTGTGAAAAATGGTAAAGAGTCACACAATCTCATAATATGCAGGAACATGTTAAGTGTACAGAATGCACGGTACAACCCACTGACACTGGTATTGCAAGCTGTGATAGTTGGCAATGTCTCTCTGTGTACATGGGCTGTCTGTAAAAAGTGGGCTGCAACTCCACCAAGCTTTACACCGGGCTGCAATTTTAATGGGAAGGAGTCTTCTGGCAGAAGCTCTGGAGACCTTTTTTAGTCTTGTGCCACTACATTTAAAAAAATGGGGTGTGTTTTTGTTGGTCCCCTAACGCAACTGCATAGTAACACTAATTTCCTGCCCTTCCTTGCAAATTTTCATGGCTTTCTCTTTGTGATTCTCTAATTTGATCCTGCACACTGGTTGTGATCATAGCAGTTTTTAAAAGCCTGTCCTGTGCGAATTGCACTCTTCTTCCAAATGGAGTGATCCCAAGCGATTCTTAAGTTTGGTGGTTTGCAGAAGGACCATGTGGCTCAGCTGCCATTTTAATGTTAGGCTTCCAGAGACTGCCAAAATGGTCCTCCCTCAAATTTTGTTCACTAAAGCATTAAAGGAAAAATGTTTGTAAAGCTTTAGGCTTCCCATCCCAGTCTCTTTTTCTCTCTCTTTACATTTTTATTTATTTATTTATTTTTATTTGTTCAACTTTTATCCCGCCCTTGCACCGAAGTGGCTCAGGGTGGCTCACAGCATTAATAAAACCAACATAGATAAAACATCAGTCCATAAAACAACTTTACAGAAATACAATAAATATAAGTAAAAGCAGTTCGGTAAATCATTACATCGACCACATTGTTCACTACTTATAGAGAATACATGTCTTAGCAGGTCGGCAGGCTTGGCTGGCATACCGTCACTCTCACTGGTATGCCCGACGGAAAAGCTCCATCTTCACGGCCCTGCGGAATTGCTGGAGATCTCGCAGGGCCTGGATCTCACTAGGGAGCTCATTCCAATATGCTGGTACAGCTAGCGAAAATGCTCTAGATCTAGTTGTTGTCAACCTGGCCTCTTTAGGGCCAGGAAGGGTCAGGCGATGTTGAGTCCCAGATCTCAGTGCTCTATGGAAAGGCGGTCCCTCAGGTAGACAGGTCCCTGACCATATAGGGCTTTAAAGGTCAAAATCAGCACCTTGAAGTGGATTCGGAATGCTATTGGCAGCCAGTGCAATGCCTTTAGCACAGGCTGGATGTGCTCCTGCATCGGGAGGCCCATCAACAGCCTGGCCACCACGTTTTGCACCAGCTGCAGCTTCCGAAGTTGCCCCAAGGGCAGCCCCATGTAGAGAGCATTGCAGTAGTCCAACCTCGAGGTGACCATAGCATGGATTACTGATGCCAGATCTTTGCGCTCGAGGAAGGGAACCAGCTGCCTAATCAGCTGAAGATGGTAGAAGGCTGCCTTGGCAGTGGCTGCTACCTGGGCCTCCATTGGTAAGGGTTTACATCTCATGTCAATTTCATTCTGGGCTGATGATTACCCCCCCCCCCTTTATTTTGTTTGCATGCAGCACTGAAATCCTTTTTTTTTTTTTTTTTTGCACTGGGGATGCTGCTATTTGCCTTCTCTCTGATCCCCCTTTCAAGTCAATACCATCAGGGATCTAAACCTTGCACAGCTTCTTTTTAAAAAAACAACAAAACCCATTTTTTATTCAGCGATCCAAGACTGGTGATAGTCTCTTATTGCTAGACTCATGCCATTTGACAAAAATTTAAAATTTTAAAACAAGGGAAAAATGGAGCTTACACACTGATGGGGGGGGGGATGGCAGAAGTTCAGAATGGGTGGAATGACCTTGATATGGGTGGGGAGTGACCTTCGAGGGACAGCAAAAGGGTAGGGGGGAATCTGAGGGAATCTGTATGCTTTTGAATTACCTTTGGCTTGGAAGTGAAACAAGGGGGAAACTGGCACAAAAGCACTCTCAGAAAACCCAGGGAAACAGCGACCAGAAAGGGAACTGAGCACTGAAGGGAGGAAAATCAGTGCAGAATGACAAAGAAAACCCAACCAACACGCACAGTGAAAGTGAGGGAAAACATTCGTGCATAATAAGCCTTCTTTAGCTCAACTCTGTGGCAGAGATGCCATCCACAGAGTGCTTAGTCATAAGCTGAATTCTCTTAAACTTTAAGAAGGCCACCCTGATCAGAAGTCCTATTTGTTTTCATGAAATTTACTACACACACACATACACACTTAAGATGCAGCAAAAGGCACAGTTTGTATCTTCAGAGGACTAGAGTATAATAGAATGGCTCAGAAAGGAACTTTCATAAAGGAGAGCAATTTAGCTCTTCATGGGTGTATTCCACTCTGGATGAAGTTGCACTCCATTTGAAGGAACAAGTCCATAGCCTGGGAGTGCTCTTGGACCAAGGCCTACTGCTAGATAAGGAGGTGACAGCTGTGACCAAGAGTGCCTTTTACCAATGTTGACTGCTTAGCCAGTTGCAGACTTTCCTGGGCAGACAAGATCTGGCCACTGTAGTCCATGCCCTGTTATATCTAGATTAGATTACTGCAATGCACTATACGTGAGACTGCCCTTGAAAAGTTTTTGTAAACTTCAGTTGGTGCAGAATGCTGCAGCCAAGATGTTGACTGGAGTAGGACAGGAAAGTCCAGTCTTCTCCCGTCTACACTGGCTCCCAGTCTATTTCTGGGCACAATTCAAGTTGCTGGTTTTTACCTTCAAAGTCCCATATGATTTGTGACCAACATAACAGAAGGACTGCATACTCTCTTATGAACCTGCCCAACCACTACGGTCATCTTCCAATGCTCTTCTTCAGGTGGGCAGCAACCCAGGAGATGGGTTTCTCAGTTCTTGTCCTACAGCTCTGGAACTCTCTCCTCAGGGAGACTTCCCCCTTTTTGTCATCTCCTGCTAGCAGGTGAAGGCTTGTTTCATTAGCGTCCCCTCAGTGATTGTTCCTTCCTGTTTTTATACGTGTATTTCACTTTGATTGTAATTGCTTTAATTATTTGGTTTGGTTTAAATGGTTTTTAAAAGATGTATTTTTCACTGTGTATGTTTTTAATCTGTTGACTACCTTGGTGGCCCTGATGAGGACAGAAAGGTAGGATATACAATTTGTAAACCAATCAGTCAGAAGTATAACATAATGGTTCACAGATGCATTTTTACAAAGGGGGGCAATTCAGATCTTCCTAGGGCTATAGTATAATGGAATGGTTCACAAGACGCTTTTGTAAGAGGACCATGGTTATAGTCTATGCCACTGTGATACTATTTGTTTCATGTATTGATCCTGCTCTTACTGCATTGTTTTCTACTTTTGCAATTCCATTTTCTGTCTTACTCGACATATCATGCCTGATACATTTTTTCACTGTTTCTAATTTTTGCAACCCTAGTCCCATTGCATTGCTTACTTTGTCTCTTGTGCTATTTTACTGCATTGCTTTACATTGTGTAATCCACCATGAGTCTCAGTGAGAAAGGCAGGTTATAAATAAATAACAAAGTAAAAATATTGCACAGAGGAGCCATATTCAGAGCACAGTTCAAAGGTCTGTTACTGTCTATATTGCAAGATTCAGGTTGCAACACGATGCGTACTTACCTGGGAGTGAGCATAGCTGAATACAGTGGAGCTGTAGGTTAGGCTGAGAATGCGTGACTGTCCCAAGGTCGCCCAGCAGAGTGGGGATTTGGACATTTGAAAAGCATGTGTTATGGTTACTTTTTGTACCACATAGATACAAGTTCTCCTGGTCTAATTCTAGATCTAGTTTGGTCACAGAGCAGCCAACCATTTATTCTGGAGGGCCAGCAAACAGGAAATAGAGACTAAGGCCTTCGCTCGTGCTACTTCCTAGCACTACTATTCAGACAATTACTGCCTCCCAAAGTAGAATTTACTTTTAGACACTATGGCTAGTAGCCACTGATGGACCTTTTAAAAGCATCTATGGCAAACATTAATGGAAATGAATCCTTAGTGATCTCAAGCTGTAAAACTCTGCCAGAGTATGCTAAAAGAATCAACAAGACTGCAATGTGTTTTAGTGTTCAAAAGACATGTAGCTTATCCTAAGAATGATTCTTCAAAAATAAAGGTAAAGGTAAAGGTTCCCTTGCTCGAAAGCCAGTCGAATCCGACTCTAGGGTTGCGGTGCTCATCTCCGTTTCCAAGCCGAAGAGCCAGCGCTGTCCGAAGACATTTCCGTGGTCATGTGGCCGGCATGACTAAACACCAAAGCGCACGGAACGCTGTTACCTTCCCACCGAAGTGGTACCTATTTATCTACTTGCAATTTCTTGCTTTCGAACTGCTAGGTTGGCAGGAGTCTTCAAAAATAAAGGCTACTAATTTCAATATGCCTTACTCCCATTACCACAATACTTTTACACATAAGACATTTTTCTTCTATGAAGATAATTTCAGTGCAGGAAAGTGCACTGATGAGTACTGCATAGTATGTGGAAATTACCATCAACCTGTTGCTCTTTCTTGATAGAAATTAAAAGTGTTAGTTGTGTTTAAAAGTGAAAAGTTTGCTTGCTGTGCGTCTTTGCCTTAGTTATTCTTGTCTGGAAATGCCATGCATAGATTCAAGCATGTGAAATCACAGCCACTTATGTGATATCTGTGCATGTTAGATATACATGCTCCTTTTCACCGGTAATATCTCATATTAATGTATATGTAGCAGTAGTTAAAGCAGCTCTACTACTCCCATCCAGATATAAATATTTGTAGGATTCAGCCCTTCTAGCAGCTGTGATGAAGCCTCAGTCTACCCTAAATGGAATTGTTATCAGCTGGGGTGGTGGTGGTGATGTGATTCAAGATGGCTGAACATGTTTGTATTAGTGTGAATGTATATTGGTTTTTGGAAGTTGTGATAGAAGATTTACCAAGCATACCTTAGAATGCTAAAAAGCATTGTTATCTTGATTGTAAAGAAAGAAAGAATTGGAAGGGAATGTGGTATTTGTATTAGATAATGGCAGGAACTCCTGCATTTAAGGTAATAGGGATGGAGTTAAAATACCATGTTTTCTAGGGTTGCCAAGTCAGAAACTTACCGGAGCGGGGGACTCCTGGCCGTCGTCTGGAGCACGCGCCGCATCCACGTCACCTGGAAGTGACGCGGGTACGCCGGGCACGCTGGGGGCGGGGCCAGGACCATCCGAGGGAAATCCATAGAGTTTTCCCTCGGATGGTCCTGGCCCCGCCCCCAGCGTGCCCGGCGTACCCGCGTCACTTCTGGGTGACGTGCACGTGGGGGTGGAGTTCCCCCTGGGGCCCGATCCACTGGCAGCGGGGAACGGGCCTCTGGGGGTGGGGGTTTCCCCGCCCCCCCCCGGTGGGACTTGGGAAGCCTAATGTTTTCTCTTTTGTACTTTGGCTCTATTCTGAAATGCCTTGCTGTACTAGTGAGACTTACAATACCAGTGTTTCTGATATAACAACTTCCCTGGAAAGAACTGCAATGTTCATACTAAAAATGGAGCGGAGTCAGTGATTAGCCCTTTTTGTTGGCCTTTGCTAGCTTATAGCAATCTAGATTTCAGCCCTCTCTTCCAGTCCATAGCCTCTGCTTTAGAATGGATTAGCTGTACAGTAGACCCGCACCATTTGTAGATTTGTGCCTTTATGTATTAATGGTCCAAACACATGATGTGGTCTCCAGCCTGTTTTTGCCCCTTCCATGCTGTCATTGCACTGCATTGCATTGCATTGTTAAATCCTGTGGGGAAACTGGCTGTTTTGCTACTCAGAGGGAACAGAAACCTGCTTCCCAGTATTCTTGGATTTGTGGCAATCTCTGGAATGTCTCCCTTAAAAATGACAAGCTTCTACTGTACCTGAGTTTGCTTAGAGAGCTGGAGAAGGATGATGCCATTTTCCTAGTAGTGATGCATGTGGAACATTGGTGGGGCATAACCGTACTGAAGGACGAATTCCTTTTCGTGAAAAGGAAGATTAACTTTGCTGTTACTTCAGACTGCTGCAAGTTTCTTTTCAGGGGTGATCCTAGGGTGGACTCTGAATTATTTCAAGAGAGTTTTCTCCCTCTTGGTCACTTGCTTCATAGCAGTTCTGTAAAGGCCTAGTTCATGATGCTGATTTATGAGTTGGCAGCATGTGGTAAAGCTCCAGTTTATAAATAGCTGGGCAAAAGTGAGGAGACACTCCTAGCAGAATATCAAAATGCCAGTTCAGTGACTAGAAGCTTCTAACAGTGAGGCGATGGTAAGTGCTTTGGATGATAGCCTTTTTTTTTTAAGCTTCCCTGGGGAAGTTCAGGGCAACAATTCTTTTGTGTGTGTAAAGTGCCGTCAAGTTGCAGCTGACTTATGGCGACCCCCAGCAAGGGGCTTTCAAGGCAAGTGAGAAGCAGAGGTGGTTTGCCATTGCCTCCCTCTGCAGAACCTTCCTTGGTGGTCAGCCTTCCAAGTACCGACCCTGCTTAGCTTCTGAGATGACATGATCAGGCTATGCCATGCTACCTTCCCTCCCTACTACCCCCTTACTTCTATCTTAAAATACAGAGAATCTGGAACTTGTTGTTTTATATGTCTCTTCTGAAAGTTCCCCATATAAATGAACTCTATCAGGCATCATGCCACAAATTCTCCTTTCTCTGTGTAGGATAGGCTTCCTATGGAACTGCCAGCTTTCAGCAAATGGATCTGAACTTATGGACCTTTAGCTGCCATTTTATTGCTTGGTTTTGGTGAGCTGCGGTGGCTCAAGTGGTTAAGATGCTGAACTGCAGGCTGTGGAAGGTCGGTAGTTCAGCAGTTGGAGACCCGAGTTGCTGCATGACGGAGTGAGCTCCCGTCTCTAGTCCCAGCTCCTGCCACCCTAGCAGTTCAAAAGCAAGAAATTGCAAGTAGATAAATAGGTACCACTTCAGTGGGAAGGTAACAGCGTTCCGTGCGCCTTGGTGCTTAGTCATGCCGGCCACATGACCACAGAAACGTCTTCGGACAGCGCTGGCTCTTCGGCTTTGAAACGGAGATGAGCACCGCAACCCTAGAGTCGGATTTGACTGGCTTTCGAGCAAGGGAACCTTTACCTTTACCTTACCTTTGGTGAGTTTGGCAGATCTGTTGAAAATTCTTCCATTTGAGTGTTTCCTTTCTCCACCTGATACTTGTTAGCTTTCTGTAAGCTTTCCTTGCTCAAAGTATTTCTAGTAGTTCTTTTTTGTGTAACATGCATTAAGTTGCTTTTTACTCTAAATCTGAGGCACTGCCTTACCTGGCAATTCATAGACCCAGGTAAAATCCTTCCTTGCCAGTCCACATCCTTTTGCCTAAAGCACAAGAAAGACTATATTCTGTGTCATGAGGGCTTGTCTGAATCTGCACACTTGAATTGCCTCCACGATTCAGAAGCAGAAGCCCTGCAATTCACAAATAACCCCCTCACCCATTTTCACAGTGTCTGTGACTGTTGCTTGTGTAACTGGGCACAGAGAACCTGTCTGTAAGAACGATGGCAACTGTTGAGATGGAATGTGTAACTTGCACCTCTGAGAAAGCAATAAGAGAAGCAAGCCACTGTGGTGGCATCTGCCCAGAATGATGCTCCATAAACAAAACAAGTATCTTAGCACCTAAAGTAGTGTCATCATACTGCTCACTTGGCTGGGTTTAACTGAACCTGACCATGTCATCCAGCACCTGCGTTGTGGAAAGCTGGGCCCATGTGGGAGCTTGTCTCTGTTGGGGTGTCCAAGGAGCCCTCCAGCTTCCAATGCCCCTAACGCAGACAACAGCCTTCTTGGTTGCCAGAATATCTCAACAAGGCCCAAAGCACCTCCCTTCCCTTTCTGAACTCTCCCTTCCCCAGTAATCCCAGTTTCTCCCATCAACCCCAGTTGAATGAAGAAATTATGGGACCTGGGTTGATAAATGTATGTGTGTGTGTGTGTGTGTGTGTGTGTGTGTGTGTGTGTTAAAAACAATAAAGTAATGGTGTCTCCAGCTTACTGGCATCTACTACCCGGCAGGAATTACTGTAGGCAGAATAAAGGAAAATACAATTTTGAAACAATCCCCATGCCCTATAATCACATGTTACTCTTCAATAATAGGGTTTATTCAACAAGGGGGGGTAATTAAAACAGGACACACATAATATAAAACTTAAGCAACACAACTTAAATGTATAACCAAAGAAATACAAGCCCTCTACTGCAGGGGTCCCCAGCTTTTTTGAGCCTGTGGGCACATTTGGAATTCTGACACAGCATGTTGGATACAGCAACAAACTGGCTACCACAGGAAGTGGAGAGAGCCATAAAATGATTGCCAAAGCTTAACTTTAGTACCACAGTGAAGAGATTGGATTTATACCCCACCCTTCACTACCCAAAGAAGTCTCAGAGTGGCTTACAATCCCTTCCCCTTCCCCTCCCCACAACAGACACCCTGTGAGGTAGGTGGAGCCGAGAGAGCTCTCCCGAGAATTGACCTTGAGAGAACAGTACTGAAAGAGCTTATGACTGACCCAAGGTCCCACCAGCAGCTGCATGTGGAGGAGTGGGGAATCAAACCCGGTCCTCCGAGATTAGAGTCCGCACTCCTAACCACTACACCAAATTGGCTCTCAGATCCTTGTGCTGTGGGGCAGCTGCGGGCAAGGCAACATTTCAAAAAATTACACAGCTAATCAAATAAAATCTCCGATAGTCAATTAGAAGCCCTACCTGACACCACCCGCTTCCTAAAAATGATTGGTGGGTGCCATGCTCACATTGGAGACACCTGCTCTACTGTCTTTCTGAATCCTTTTGCAAGTCTCACACTCAGTGTTTCCTGTGGCTTGCCTAGCTCTCTGTCCTGCTGGTGCTGCTGCAGCTCTCTAGAGGCTCCTTCTTCTCAGGTTAAGCTGTTCTTTGCACAGGACTTTTCCTCAGATGGCTTCAGTTCTCCTTTCTCCCCAGAAATCTCAGAGGCACTGTATGGCTCCCTCACAAAATTCCTTTCCCGCCAAAACTCCAACAGATGGCTAAGCCCATAAGGTTAAACCTAAGGTTGCCAGGCTGTGCAATGTGGCCTCCCCCACTTCTCCTGGTGGCTGATGCAAAAGGCCGGGTGGGAGGCCTGATCTGCCATTAACTTGCAGAAGAAGGCAAATGGTAAGTGTGGTTACACCCCTCTACTGGTGGAGGAGGCGGCGCTGCCAAGCATCAGATTGAGCTTGAGACATGAGGAATAAGCAGGAATAAGCAATTAGTTAATTAAACAAAATGTGACAATAGTAAAAACAGATGGAGAAAAACAGTTGTAAACAGGACAGAAGATATAAGCCAGGCTACATTCCCAACAAGCAGAAAGGTAGAGAGCGAGCTAGGGCTATACAGCCTCTGTAATGTGGCTTACTTATTTTTTCCTAGTTATACCTCAGAACTTGGTTCTCCCAGGGAGGACTCTCCTTCCTAAGAACAAACTTTGGGTGCGTTCAGACGGGGCGTTTCTGCCGGCATAAACTGCACTGGTTGGAACCGGTGCAGTTTATGCCGGCAGAAACGCGATCAGACTCACCCTCCTGTCTGCGGAGCCCTCTGGTGGACGCCCGCTCACACGCTGTGGGTGTCGGCGTTTTTTTTTTTTTAAGGACTGTTTGAGCATGCGCACAGGCAGCCATTCAGAGAATGGCGATTTTTGCGCATGCTCAAACCCCCCCTTACATTTAAACTTTAAAGGTAAGCACTTACCTTTAAAGTTTAAGGCCCAACCTGGCCTCGCTTAAGTCCCGGACTCCTCCGGGACGGTAAAGTAAGGGCTTTTTTTTTTTTTTAACAAACGCTCAGGGCGAAGCTTCGCCTGAGTGCATATCGCCTAGGTTTTTTTAAAAAAATGGCGGGGGAAAGCTGGAAGCCTCAGGCTTCCGACGGAAGTGGCTGCGCAACGGAGGAGAGCGATCAGACGTCGGGGTGCACCGTTTTCAACCGTTGCACTCTGTTTACCACCACTTGGGACCTAGTGGCAGAGTGCAACGGTTTAAAAGGATTTACAACGGTTAGGGACGGGAGGCAGATGTTCGCTGTCTGAACGCCCGTAAGTACACCGGTTGGAACCGGCACCCTAACCGTTGTAAAGCCCCCGTCTGAACGCACCCTTTGAGTCCAGTGTCACTTTTAAGATCAAAAAAGTTTGTTGGTCTTAAAGGTGCCACTGGACTCGAACTTTACTCTATTGCTCCAGACCAATGTTGGCTACCCAGCTGAATCTCCCTCCTAAGGTGAGTGATCATCTTCTGCTAATAGCAGTCTCTTACCCTGCCTAGATCCTGGGAGAAAACAATGCTCCTCTTTACATTCACTTTCTACAAGGTCTTCCCTCCTCTTTGACAATTGACTTTTCCTTCCTATTTCACCAGGTCCAGTCCTGGTCTTAAGAGGGTATTGAGGAAATGTAAGCCCAGAAGGAAAATTTACAGCAAGACCCCAAGCCTTTGAGTAGGAGAGAGGCTGCTCCAAGGTAAGTAGGCCACACTAAAAAGGTACAAGTAAACATTCCCTTGCTTGAAAGCCAGTCGAATCCGACTCTAGGGTTGCGGTGCTCATCTCCGTTTCAAAGCCGAAGAGCCAGCGCTGTCCAAAGACGTTTCTGTGGTCATGTGGCCGGCATGACTAAACACCAAGGCGCACGGAACGCTGTTACCTTCGAACTGCTAGGTTGGCAGGAGCTGGAACTAGAGATGGGAGCTCACTCTGTCATGCGGCACTCAGGTCTCCAACTGCTGAACTACCGACCTTCCACAGCCTGCAGTTCAGCATCTTAACCACTTGAGCCACACTACTAACCAGTAAACTAGAAAAGGGAAGGAATCTTTATTTATTCATTTATTTATTAGATTTATACCCCGCCCTTCCAGCCAAAGTCGGCTCAGGGCGGCTTACATAAAAAGTAAAAACACATAAATATTTGGTGCACTCACAAGTTGCAGAGAACCATACTGGGTGGCATTACTAGTGAATCATGGAGGACACAGAAGGCAGCCTTTCTTGTGCCTGTCTTTATTTCTGTACTATTGGTTGACTCTGTTAAGTGTTTCTAAACTTCTAAGTCATAGCTTTCTGGTACTGAGTTCCAAGATCCCTGTTTTAAAGGGTGACACACAGCATACTGGAAGCTCTGGTTCCAATCCCAGATCTCTAGAGCAACACAACATTGGGGAATCCTTTTCCTTTCACAATCATAAAGTATGATACCTGTCTTTAGAAGCTGTGAAGACTGGAGAGAGTTTGGCTTATCTAAAAATAAGCGACTGGCTTCAAATTATTTTCTTCATACACAACCTAGTTTCAAACACTTCTGTTTTTGACCTGGGTTCAGTAATGCTCTGAACACTCACAAAAACTTTGGGGTCCAGACAAGCCTCCCTGCCTAGTATGGAGCCTTTTTCTTCTAACTGCATATGAAGGAGAGTGATTCCTGTTATTTAATGAACTTCCATATAACGACCTTCGGTATACACTTTCATTGGCTATGCCAATAAAAAGCATATTCAGGCTCTGCTAACTTAGGGTGGAGCAGTGGTATATAGCTTGCTGTTGACAAGGAATATGTGACAGCTCTTCTTGGGATTTACTTAAGTGACTGTGATTACAGATTGATATAAATAATGAGTTTTGCACACAGCTTCTTATATATTTGTGTAAAGACACTCTTAGACCATATTACTGCATCTTGTTGAACAGACACAGAGCCCTGTACTGTCATAGACACAAAACTGGAAACCATAGGGCAATAGGCCCTTTCTCCATCTTTTTCTGTCCCAGTACAAAAGAGCAAAGAGTCCAGTAATACCTTAAAGGCTAACAAAATTTGTGAGGGCTGAGCTTTTGTGAGTCAGTGCTCACTTCTTCAGACATCTGAAGAACTAAGCAGTGACTCATAAAAGCTCATACCCTGCCACAAACTTTGTGTTAGTCTTTAAGGTGCTGCTGGACTTTTGCTCTTTTCTACTGCTACAGACAGACGAACATGGCTACCCCTCTTGATCTTTCTCTCCCCCAGACAAGCTTTGCTGTTGACTCAGAAGAAATCCTGAGCCAAAGGTCAGGGGAAAGGTATTTTCTACATCCTTTCCCAACCTCTTTGTGGTATTAACAGGAGGCGATGCAAAGTAGTTGGTAAATAATACCACTGTTTATGTGATTATTTGTGTAATCAGGAAACAGTTATTCATGATATACAAATCAGATTTGGGGAACCTGAATAAGGCAACAATTACCTAAGGGATTATTTATTATGGCTTAAGATTTTGTGGACTAGGTTGATATTATATTTTTATGCTACCTCTTCAGAGTCTTGCTCAGGGGTCGTTTCGTAGAAAAAGAGCTAGGGGAACTCATTAGCATATGCCACACCCCCTGACATCACTGGAAGTGTGTCATAAGGCCACACACCCCGCCCCCAACGGTCCCGGCCGCTGGCGCCGGCCTTGCAGCTCCACTGCCGAGCCCCATGAGGTGCCCGGCAGTGGACCTGCAAGGCCGGCGGGAGTGCAAGGAAGCCCCGCAAAGGCCTTCCCTGGCCCCAGGCAGGCAGGGGTGGGGAGAGGCAGGGAGGAAGCAACTTACCCTCCCTCTTCTCCTGCCTCCTCCTGGCTGAATGAGGGCCGGAAGCAGGGGGCGGGGCTTCGTCATGTGCCCCGCCCCCTGCACCTCACCCGGGGGAACTGCGATCCCCCGCAATTCCCCCCCGAAATGATCTCTGGTCTTGCTCAAGGCAGCTTACATTAAAAAAAAAAAAGCCATTAGACATAAGCAGCATAAAAATTGGCCATAAAACAGAGCAAACCATTTAAAAGCTGACAAAACCCTCTAATTAAAAGCCTGGGTAAAAAGATGTTTTAGCCCGAAACCTAAAAGAAAGTAAAGTAGGCACCAGGCTCTGGTGATCTGATAAAGGTTTTCAAGCTTCACCAGGTTGTTGGTCAGATACCTTGGAAATACTTAAATCTTGAATACAAATAGATCAAATGCTTATGGCACTCTCTCTCTCACTAAAGGACTTTTGCCAAGATGAGGATTTAATAGTCACTGTCATTTTAAAAATAAAAAAGCTATTTCCCTGTTTCTACCCTAGCCAGTTCTTCATAGACTTACTGCTGGAAATTGTCCTGATCTGACTGGCAGCTTCCTGTTGATGCAGGTACAGGACTGCCTCAGGCGACTTCTGCAGTCTTCTCTCTGGTTCTGCTGAAGTCATCTTCCCATTTCATTGGAATGTGTTGTGTATGCTGGCCGCCACCAGGGGCCAGCGGCGACCCAGGGCTCGACCCTGGGTGGACAATGGAAACCAGCCTTTTGGTCTCTCCATTAGGAGCCAAGGGAAACGGGGAGGGAAATTCGAACCTCCCAATGGGATCCAGGGGTGTCCCCTGGATATGTATATAGTTGGCCTGCGGGCCGTTGTTCTTTGTCTTAGTTGTGTAAGAGCCAAGCGTGCACCATGTTATGTGAGCTGAGGAGGCCTAGCCACGCGGTCAACCCACTACACAATAGTGGCGACGAGGGTTCCGACAGCACCCCTAACCCCCCGGAAGACACTGAGGAGGCCCCAGCAGCCAGTGCTCCAGAAACCGAGGGGCCGGCACCACAGGCGGGCCCCAGCACAGGGAGCAGGGACCCCGAGGTCCCTATTCCGAACCCCAGACATTCCACCAGAGAGCGACGGCCCCCGACATACCTAAAAGACTATGTGACATGGGGGGGGGGCGAACCATGGGGGGAGGGATGTTGTGTATGCTGGCCGCCACCAGGGGCCAGCGGCGACCCAGGGCTCGACCCTGGGTGGACAATGGAAACCAGCCTTTTGGTCTCTCCATTAGGAGCCAAGGGAAACGGGGAGGGAAATTCGAACCTCCCAATGGGATCCAGGGGTGTCCCCTGGATATGTATATAGTTGGCCTGCGGGCCGTTGTTCTTTGTCTTAGTTGTGTAAGAGCCAAGCGTGCACCATGTTATGTGAGCTGAGGAGGCCTAGCCACGCGGTCAACCCACTACACAATAGAATGGTTTCTAGCCTCTTTGTAGGCTATCTACTCTTTCTTCTGCCTTCTCCCTGATGGTGAATCCTCACCCAGCTCTTGAAAGGCCTTGGCTGATAACTTACTTCTTCCTGAAGATCTGCTGCCTCTCCCTCTCTTTCTCTCTGAACTGCTACTTACTCATCTCAGGAAGGTTCCATCCAATCCACTGCTGACATTTAGTCAAGCCTTGATCTGATTGGCTCTGGAATCCAGACTTTAGGAGCTGCCTCAAAGAATCTCTCCTAATTGAAAACCGATTCTGATCTTGAACACTCTTCTTTAGGGACCCTTTAACCTCACCTTAGTGATAGTCACTTGCTTCACCAAAATATGTTGTAATGATATAAACCCTCCTGTTCTCCTCCTTCATAACTGTATACGGTACATAAACAAATGAACAATAACATATATTCTAAAAGTATTACAAACTATATTTATTTTTCTTTGTGGATAACCCACTTCTCCACAGAGGCAAGCCTGAAAGGAGAGGGCATTCCAAAGTGAAGTGCCACCAGAGAAAATGCCCGGACTCTAGTCACCACCTGCATGCACCTCTGAAGGTGGGGGCACAGCGAATAGGGTTTGAGAGGCTGATCTTATCTGGTGGCTAGACAGTATGGGAGAAGATGGTGCTTCAGGTACCCTGGCCCCAAGCATTTAGGGCCTTAAAGGTGAGAACCAGCACTCTGAATTGTGCCTGAAAACAGATGGGAAGCCAGTGCAGATCTTTCAGCACAGGATTGACATGATCCCTGTAACCAACTCCTGATAAATATCTTGGCCACCGAAGTTTGGACCAATTGAAGTTTCTGAACTGTTTTCAATCTGAAGTTTAGGGTCCTCAGCAGACTGACCCCCGCCCCCCCAGGTATGATAAATGGCCATGACATTCAAGACTGACACCTCTAGGCATATTTCCCCTGTAGTTTAGAACAGAGATGTCATTCCAGAGGTGGGATGACTTCACTGGAATGACTTGGTGCTAAATACTGATATATCTTTAATAAACATTTTATTAATTTTTTTCAAAGGTATAATACAGTACAGAACAATAAAACACATGAACACATAAAAACAGGTAAATTCAGTGCTTGCAGTGCGGTGTTTTTCCAAATTTTGTTAAGCCATAAACTATTTTGTGCAACATTACCATGTCAACCCCATGATCCTTGTATTAACTATAAAATTCAACCACATGTTAATATTTTATATTTAGGGTCTTTGATATTTTCCCATTCAAACTTATCTATATTCATCTTCTCCGGTATTGGGTACCACTTATCGAGAGGGTTTAGTAAGTGTCTTTCCACATCCTCGTTGTTTAGCCAGAGGGAGACCTTTTCTTGTAGAAAAAAGTCCCATACTATGTGCAGCCACTGTTGCATTGTGGGGAGGGTGGTAGTTTTCCATTTACTTGCAAGGGATGCTTTGGCAGCTATTAACAATATATTAATGAGTTCTTTACTTCTTTCAGGTGGACTGTCCGTGGGCCAAAGATGGAGGAGAATCAGCAAAGGATCACAAGGTAAGTTGTAACTCGTTAGTGCATGAATGGAGAGAATAATTTGGTTCCAATATTGAGCTACTTTGGGGCATTCCCACCATGTGTGAAAGTATGTAGATTTTTGACCGCATTGTTTCCAACACAGCAAAGATGTGTTTGGATATATGTGTGAAAATTTTGCAAGGGTGAGGTACCACCTATGTAGCACCTTGAGTGCTGTTTCTTGAATCAGTTGTGAGTTTGAACTCTTGGCATGAGTTTTACAAATGTCCGTCCATTGGTCTGTGGATAGGGGGTTGGTGAATGTCCTTTTGCCAAGCATCTTGATAGCTGTGTGTTTTGTTGAGTTTTAACTCAATCAGTTGTTTCTAGATTGTAGAAATTGAGCCTTTCTTTTGGTCATGTCTCCAAAGCAATTGTTCAAAGCAATTAAGAGGTTTCTGTACGTTGGGTTTGATCTTTTGGTCTTCCAATAGGTGTTGCACCTGTAGGCAGTGTTCCCTCTAAGCTGAGTTAGTGTGAGCTAGCTCACAGTTTTTTAGCCTCCAGCTCACACATTTTTGCCTTAGCTCAGGAAGAATGGCTCCGTAGCAAACTAATTTATGCAGTAGCCAAATTGCTCGCTCACGACTTTAATGCCAGTCGCTCACAAAGTTGGATTTTTGCACACAAGACTCCAAAGCTTAGAGGGAGCATTGCCTGTAGGTACTCAAACCAAGCTAGTTTGGAGATTGCCTTTTTATCCAGTTCCAGCTTTGATAACAGTTTGCTTTTGGTTAGAAGATCTGATATTCTTGTCAAGCCTGATGCCCACCATAGCTCGAACAATTTCGGGTCCTCGGCCAGGGGGAAACTTTTTTGGCCTGTAAACGTACTTACGGTGGATCTAGGTGCCATCAGCTGTGGTTTGTTTTTGAACCAGATCTTTAGTGTCGCTCACAAATAAGGATTTTGCAGTGTTTTTAGCTATTGGTGAGGTTGGTCTTGCCATAGGACTTCCTTTAAGCAGCGTGGTTGTAATGCAGTTTCTTCGATGTGGTGCCAATCTAGGTTATCGTGATTATGGTACTGTCTGAGGAGTTTGGACAATTGTTTCGCTGTATAGTACAGCTGCAGATCTGGAACCGCTAAGCTCCCTTTGCATAACGGTCTTCTTGCTGTGGCATGTTTGATTCTCGGTACTTTGTATTGCCATAGAAATTTGGAGACACGGTTTTGCCATTTTGCCAACAAGGAGTCTGGAATAAAGATCGGTAGAGCCCTAAAACAATGTAGGAATTTAGGGAAGATGAAGGACTTGAATGTTTGGATTCGATTTAACCAGGACAGTGGTTTGTGATTCCATTTCTTCAGAAGCTCGCATACTTCTTTATCTATTTTGGTGTGGTTAGTTTTGATAAGGTCTGACAGGTGCACAGGTAGTTTAATGCTGAGGTAGGACAGGTGTGTCTTGACAGACTGAAAGGGATATTTTGTTTGGATTTGCAAAGTCATGGCATTAATTAAGCGAATTGGATAGATTGTAGACTTTATTTGATTTACTTTTAAACCGGCCACTTCTCCAAATGTTTCTAAGGTGCTTTGAATTTCGGGCAGCGTTGTTTGGGGATCTGAGACTTAGATGGTAAGGTCGTCAGCGAAGAGGCTAACTTTAAATTCCTTCCCCTTGATGTTAACACCTTTTATACTAGGATTATTGCGGATAGTTCCATGGCAAGTGCGAACAACAGTGGCGATAAGGGGCACCCTTGTCTGGTGCCCCGGTATAAGTTGATGTTTGAGGATGTATCCCCGTTGCTCTGTTTCTCTTATAAATGGCTGAAATTGCTCTGAGGAATGTGGTTCTTAATTTCTTTCGTTGCATGAGCTTGTCCAAGTAAGTGACCTCCAAGGTATCGAAAGCCTTTTCGATGTCGAGCATTAACAGCATTGTGTTGTTTAATGATTGTGTCCTGCCGTGGTGGATTATTTTTTCCGATATTGTCAGTGATGTCTCGAGTTGGGATGAACCCTGTTTGGTTGTTATGGATGTATTCACCGATTATGCTTTTTAGCCTGTTGGCCAAAATAGATGTAAAATTTTGTAATCTGTGTTGAGTAATGAAATTGGGCGGTATGCCCTGGGATCTGTAGCGTCTTTATCCTTCTTTGGCAGTAAAATCACGTTTGCCGCTGTCCATGTATCTGGTAAGGCTCCTGTCGATAGGACTTGATTAAATGTTTCCGATAATGGTTGTGTTAATATTGATGCGAATGTTTTATAGTATTCCAGCTGAAATCTGTCCAGGCCAGGAGCTTTGTTTCTTTTAAGAGCTTTTATAGCTGATTCTACTTCTTCTTTTACCATAGGGGCATCAAGTAGTGCTTGATGATCCTCTGAAATCTCTTTAACTGATGTGTGGGAATCCAGAAAGGCTTTAATACTCGCTTCAGGTGGGTTGGAGGAGGTGTATAGTGAAGCGTAGAACGTCTCCAGTGTTTTCATAATATTTTCAGGCGATGTCTGCAAGTTACCTTTTGGGTCTTTAATGTTGTGGACCCATCTTTCTGTTCTTTGTTTTTTCAGTTTCCAGGCAAGATATTGGAGGTTCTTTGGGCCTGTGTTTGTTGATTCATGCTTGGTGAGTAGCTCCTGTTAAGGTAGAGGTGTCTAGCAGCTCTAGTGGTTTCCTTAGGTTAATCAATCTTCTATAGACTCGGTTGCTGCATGTCTTTTTGTGATTAATTTCGAGTTGTCTTATATGTGCTAAGAGTTCAGACTTTTCCTCTATTTTTTCTCTTTTGCAGGCTGCTGTCAGTGCTATGGATTTGCCTCTTAGTACGGCTTTAGAGGCTTCCCAAACCATAGTGCTAGATACCACACAATGTTGAGTTAATTGGAAGTACTCTTCTATCTCTTTTTGGAGTTCATGTCTCGTGTGTTATTGGGTCAATCAATAAATTTTTGTTAAAAGCCCTATTGAGTCTCTGTTGATTTTTCCAAGCCTGAGAGTACATTCTATTGGGGCGTGGTCTGACCATCTGATGCTGCCAATTTCTGATTATTGGAAAAGTGGGAGTGATTCTTTTGATACACAAATATAATCTAGTCTGGTGTAGACTTTGTGTTTTGATGAATAGTAAGAATAGTCTCTTTTGGTACTGTGCTGTGTCCTCCATACATCACTGAGATTGAGATTGTCTACTAGTTGTTTTAATGGACTCAGGGTGTCTCTTGCATTGGATGTCTTTTTAGGGGATGATTTGTCGAGCTTTTTATTTAATAGGGAGTTGAAGTCCCCTCCAATTTTGGTGTGGCCCTTTTTGAATTGATGCAGTTTGGTGAGTGTGGTTTTCAAAAAATCAATTTGACCCTTGTTGGGTGCATACACCGACGCCAGCATGACTAAAAAGGTAAAGGTTCCCTTGCTCAAAAGTCAGTCGAATCCGACTCTAGGGTTGCGGTGCTCATCTCCGTTTCAAAGCCGAAGAGCCAGCGCTGTCCGAAGACATTTCCGTGGTCATGTGGCTGGCATGAGTAAACACCAAGGTGCGCGGAACGCTGTTACCTTCCCACCAAAGTGGTACCTATTTATCTACTTGCAATTTCTAAACAGCCGTGCAAATTCCCTCGTATAAAAATATATCTTCCTTCTGCGTCTTTTTCAATTGCATCTAAGGCAAATGTAATATATTTTGCAATTAATATTGCCACCCCATGGGACTTGGAATTGCCGGGAGCAACGTATTGAGTGGTGAACCATTTGGAGTTGAAGACTTTAAAATAATTTTTTATACATGTTTCTTGTAGGAGTGCTATAGTAGTCTTTTGATTTTTTAGGTCAGTGGCTATGTGCTTCGCCTTGATTTTATTATTTATGTATCTGATGCATGCTCACACGGGGCATTTCCTGCTCCACCATAATGTCAATGTAAAAAACAAAAAAACCCAGTAACAAGGCCCTCAGGCCGTTAGCCCAGCTGATAAGCTTGATGTCTGAGCCTGACTCGATCCCCTCTCCCCCCCCCACTGAAGCTTAATCTAAGATATAACATTTAAAGAAACAGTATTTTAGAATGTACGATCGACAGTGAGTTATCATTTATAAAAACTTATCATTTGATTATTATGGAGACACCTGGAGTCTAGTAGGAATTCTGCTCCACTTTTTTTGGGTTCCAGAGGTATCCCGCTTTCTCTTCTTCGATTGGGCCGTGTCCATATCTTGGACTTCTTCCAAACCTACTGCTCTGAGGAGTGCTGCTCCAGAGTCAAGGTTGTCTGCGAAGTAGGTGGAACCGTGGTGCCTTACTTGCAAGTAGCCTGTTGCTAGCCATCTATATTTCAATTTTGCTTCCTGAAGGCGTTTTGTTACCCGTTTTAGTGTACTGCAAATTTGGAGGGCTTCTGGAGCCACATCAGGAAATATAAAGATCTCAGATTGATTATGTTTAAAGCTGCCATTATTTTTTGCTTCCTGCAGCATTTTATGTTTATTTCGAATGTCAAGTAGTTCTGCCAAGATATCTCTGGGGCCTCTGCGCTGGTCAGGGACTAGCGGGTTACATCAGAAGAGATTACCCTAATGATTAAGCAGTTAAAGAATGGGAAGGCTCCTGGCAGTGACTTTATTCCTCCAGATCTTCTCAAGAGCAACGCTGACTGGTGGTCACCGTTATTGGCCAGACTTTTTACTTATATTGACCACACTGCTCAGATTCCAACAGACTGGGGACTTGCAATTATTAATCCTATATAAATGAAAGGTATCAGTTCTGATCCTAGTAATTACCGACCAATTAGTCTTCTAAATACCATAGGTAAATTGTAATCGAGACATCTGCAAACTAAATTACATAACTGGCTTGAACATGATAATTATCTAAGCAAAGAACAGGCGGGCTTCACCCATGGTCGATCAACTCTTGATCACTGTCTTGTTCTAGACTATTTTATTCAAAAATATGTGAGAGTTGCCAAGAAATCTCTTTTTGTCGCCTTTGTGGATTTAAAGGTGGCCTTTGATTCTGTATCTCGGGGAAGAGTTTGGGCAAAATTGAACTGCACAACCATAGATAAAAGACTTCTGCATCTGATGATTAGGGTTCATGAGAACACGCAACTACAAATCAGATGTAATGGTAAAGGAATGTTATCAAAATCTATTCCCTCTCAGAAGGGAGTAAAGACAGGTTTGTTTACTTGCCCCCTCCTTGTTTAATATATATGTTAATTCCCTTATTCAGTCTCTGCATGGGGTAGACGTTCACGCCCCTAATTTTTCAGGTGGAGAGGCGGTTCCAATACTGATGTATGCGGATGATGCTATCTTACCGTCCCAAACCAGTCTTAAACGGGCCCTAAGAATCTTTAGTAAGAAGTGTAACGCGGAATTATTAACGATTAATTATACCCAAACTAGGATCATTCGTTTTAACAGGGTTTATAAGAAAGATACTTCGAGAGTAAATAGACAATTTATAGAGCAAGTTAAAACATATAAGTATCTAGGGATAATTTTCAGCTATAATGGCAGTTCCTCAGCACATATAGCCTCCGCAATCTGCTCTGCTGAAAGAAATGTTAATGCTATTATCAGATTTTTCAGAAAGGAGGGCCAAGGTGTAATTTTAGCGGCTTTGAAATTATTTGACGCAAAGGTCTTAACCCAACTCACATATGGTACGCAAGTAATTACAATAAGTGATAATAACTTTAAGGACCTGGAAAAAGTTCAATCCAAATTTATTAGAGCATTATTTAATGCACCTAAATGTACAGCGAATGTTGTTCTTAGGCAGGAGAGTGGGGTGACAAAAATGGAAATGAAAATCTGGATAGCTTCAATTTTTTATTGGTTGAGAATGCACTTGAAGCCTACAGGTCCAATTCCATCTTTACTAGCTGCCACTCCATATCCTGATTGGTCCTCTAAAATTTTAGCCAAACTTGGATCAATTGGGCTTTACCCTGCAAGTCTTTTGGAGCTAGGATTGACTAAAGCTAAATCTATAGTAACCCAACGCCTAACAGATATAGGGGCTCAGACAGAAGAAGCGCTCTTACCTTCAAGATATGGAGCCTTAAAATCCTGGATAGGTTTTGCTCCCGCTCCATATCTTTCTAACATCACATATGACGGCTATAGATGGGCTTTTTCTAGAGCACGTTTTGGTGCCCTACCCTCTAATTTGTTACAAGGAAGGTTTTTGCGTTGGCCTATCTCCCAAAGATGTTGCCCTTGTACAAATCTTGATATAGAGTCGGTATCACATATTTTGTTAAATTGTAATTTTTATGCTAGGGAGAGACAGCTGTTAATTTCCCCATTGTTGTCCAAATTTAAACCCTTGGATGTCCAGTTGAAATTTGCGGAATTGAGGATTTTAATTTTTTTGTTGGAAGACCGGAAAGAGAGGATATCTTTAGCTGTGGCAAAATTTTGCTTCCTGGCCCTTAAAAAGAGGAAGCTTGTACCTTAGATAGCGAGTTGATGACAAATTAGCGTTGTTTTTGTTTTGTTTTAATGAGATATCGTACTTGTTTTAAAGTTCTTTTATATATCCATTTGAATTTTATGTATTTATAGTGTATCTTATATTATTAGTCCTCTTGGTAATGTTCTATATTGGCTGGTCGCTTGACCATACTAATAAACTTGACTTGACTAGCGGGTCCAATCTATATGCTTTCACAACCATCGGAGTAGTGTCATCTTCAAAATTGATGACGGAGGCTAACCAGGATGAAATAAAAGAAGCCATATCTGCAGTGCCTTCAATTTTCTCCTCGAAGCCTCGAAATTTGAGAAATTGTTCTCTGGAGTGATGCTCTAATACTAAAATCCGTTCTCGTGCCCAGGTTTCGGGTTTTTTCAGGTTGTTGATGTCTTCCTGGTTAGTAATGGTTGATTCCAGTGCCGTTTCTGCTGACTGAGAGATTTTTTGTATAGATGCTTGCATGGTTTCCAGGCGTTCTGCCATGGGTTTCAGCAGCTCGTTGATGTTTGCCAGCATTTCAGATTCGAAGGTGCTTAGCATCTCTGTAAATTCTTGTTTGGTTACAGCAGTCTGTTGCACACAAGCTTCAGCAGTCCCGGTGGCCATTTTGGATTCTGAGGCACGGTTCCCGCACACTGCTCCATGTGCTGATTCTGTGCTGAAAAAGGTTTTTATTCGTGTGGAATTGGGGTCTCCAGCGTTTGTAGCGATGTCCGCCAGATTTCGCCATGCCATTTATCTCAGAACTGTTTCTTTAGCTTTAGTAGTTCGGCGGGGAGAAGAAGGGTTAGTCAGAGCTCTTTCATTTGGTGTTTGCCATCTTGTTCTCTGATGCCCCGCCCTCTGGTGTTAAATACTGATGGCAAGAGTACAGAATGGGGTGGATAGATTCATCTGCCATCCTGATTTCTTTCTGCTGAGCCCCATCTCTCAGACACTTTACTAGTTTGCTCAGTTTATTAATATCTTATCATTTATCTTCAATCTTGGCCTTTTACTTATGTTTAGAGCACAAGGTTAACTGGGAAGAGTACAGCACAAGCTTAGGTGGGAAGAAAAGGGCACAAGTTGCCATGCAATAGCAATTATCTGGGCTTTGGGGGTGATTTAGACCTCAATCTTAAAATATGTTTAATATTGAAAGTTCCATTAATATTGATGTGGTCTCATCACTCTCCAGTGGCAAGAACTTGATGTAGTAAAATTAAGAGAAGAAATACAAGGGTGATAATGTCACTGCGACCCAGAAAATACCTTGACACTTCTAAGTCTAAGAACATAAGAACATAAGAGATGCCAATGTTGGATCAGGCCAAAGGCCCATCCAGTCCAACACTCTGTGTCACACAGTGGCCAGAAATACCAGTGCCATCAGGAGGTCCACCAGTGGGGCCAGGACATTAGAAGCCCTCCCACTGTTGACCCCCCCCAAGCACCAAGAAGACAGAGCATCACTTGCCCCAGAGCCCCT